GGTTGGACACCTCGGGCTGCCAGGTTCTTTCATGGCACCCTAATCTACTCAGGCACCTTCACGGAGATGCTGGCAGTGGATGGCTAGTCTGGAGGACAGCATTTTTCTCTCATCAGTCTGTCCCATCAGGACATTGAACGATGAGTGGAGATGACCCAATGGGGCTAATCCTAAAACAAGGCAAGGGGAGAAGTGGTTAAGGGGAGGGTGGGTGACTGCAGATGTATTCGACTAGGGCACATTCTAACCTCAAGAAAAATCTGTCTCTAGATCAGGAACTATTGAAAATATCAGAGTCCTAGGAAAGTATGCTCTAAGGTCCCTTGGGAAGCAAGCTCCTAGGTTATCAAAAGGTTCAGAAACCTTCCTTAGAGAACAGGGGGAGTGAATGGGCTCCCCTGGGAACCTAGGCTTTCCAAGATCTTATCCATCAACTCTTCTTTGGCTGTAGCCCCCACTATAGCCATCCTGGTGTTTGCTTATTTTGGTTATTTTTTGATCAGATATTTTGGCACTATGCACACTGCCTCCTGTTGCCATGACAGCCGTGACAGGGGCTGAGGCACCGTGAGAAAAATACCAAAATTAATGAGTGAGCGAAAGTGCAGCCGAGAGAAAAACAAGGTTAAAAAAAGAGTTAAAACAGTAATGAAAACAGTCTTCTGAGCTCCACAGCAGAACAGCTGCTGAGGCCTCCCCAGAGCAGCAGCTTCAGCCCAACCTTAGGGTCCTGGCATCTCCCAACCTCTAAACAGGACTCACCTGCCCTCCCCCACCCAGTCCACCACAGACCCAGCAAGAGCCACTGGAGGACCATCCTGAACAGTAGCATGCTGCCTCCCAGGACAGCATCTCAGGGAACAGCTTCTCATCTCCTAGACAACGGAGTCTTAGCTACAGCCCCCACACAACTGTGGTCCAGCTATATTACCAAGAAATGGCATCCTAGCTACAGCCGTGCTTTGGAGCTTTAGCTGCAGGCGTAACAGCTTCCCAGTGAGAGTCTTGCACACAAGAACAGCCCAGCCACAATCCTGGGCAATAGCATCTTAGCTATAGCCAATCCTCAGTATGCTGTCATCACAGCTATAGCTTCAGGACCAATAGCATGCTAGCTACAGCCTTATATACAACAGCAGCTCTGCTCTTATCTCAGGTAACAGCCTGCTTCTTAGGTACAGGCTCCTAGCAACAGCTTTTTTATCTCCTAAGACCTACACAGTAGATTCAGCTACAGCCATAACTACATCAAATTAACACACAGCAGCTCAGCTATAGCCAGCCTCAGGCATGCCAGCCTCAGGCATGCCAGCCTCACACCTACAGCTACCAGACCAATGGCTCTTCAGTTACCGCCCTCTTTCAACGTGCACACACGTATACACACATCAAATCCCCACGGCTTCTTGGATCATCTGATTGTTTGGCTACAGCCTAGGCACACCAGCATCACAGCAAACGGAGGCAACAGCCTTTCTATTAGTCTCAGGTTCCACTGTATCCCAGTCCTCTTAGCGACAGCCCGCCCCAGGTAAACACATGTCAACAAGCATCCCGGCCATACCTAGCATCACCCAGGCTTCACTCTCTGGACACGGTCCCAGATGGACTCTCAGTCACTGTCAGTTTGAGGAGCCTCCCCCAACACTTCACTTGCCAACTGGTCCTCCTCCCAGTTTGGTACAGGGCCAAAAGCCCGGCTTCTCCTCTTCAATGCTCCCCCCTCTACTCCCCAACCAGCCTCCTCGAAGTCTCAGCAATCTTGCTTGCCTTCCCTGGGTGGGTGGACAGGGGGAACAAGCCCCAAAACGCATACCTACATTGTCCCAACTCAGGTCCCCACAAAAACAGTCTTGCAGCTGGAGTAGGAAGGGACCTGAAGCAGGGAAGAATAATAAACCCACCCTATGATTGCAGCCTTGGCCCAGTTCTATTCCAGCCACTTGGTGCAGGATTTTGGGTTGATGGTGGTGGAGCAGGGAGGATGGAGGGGAACATCTGGGAGATTAGCATTTCCTGCCCAGCTCTGCGGCTGCTGATCCTGCTCAGCCCTGAGCAAAGGAGGAGAACAGAGGAGCCTTTGAATGGCTCCCAGCAAGCAGCCTGGGGAGGGTTTGCTGCAGTGGGCAGCAGGCACATGCTGGGGGCAGGGAGGCTGGGGCAGCTCCTCTGTGGAAGATTTCTTCTCTCCGGCCCAATGATTTGCTTCTTGGTGCTGTGCTCGATGATGGGGTGAGAATGAGCTTTGCAACGGACAGAGAGAAGCCACTTAAAGGACAGACTCTCTTCCCACCAGCTTTCTGCATCTCCTGTTGAGCACCCCAGTTGGGCAGTTGGCTTCCTGGGCCTGAGAGTGAGCAGAGGGCCCAGATCAGAAAGGGAGAAGAGTTGGAGGTCAGGGGTGCTCTGAGAGATCCCTGGCAGTTCTCCATTGCTCCTTCAGTTAGCTACAGATCTCACCCCTACTTTGAAGAATGTTCCACATAAAGAGGCCCAGAGGCTAGGAAGGGGAGAAAGCAAAAGAAAGAAACACTAGACAGAAGAAAGGTAGAGATGGGAAAATGAGGGAGGGACGGAAATGGGGAGGGGGAAGGGTCAACGGCGATGGCAGAAACCTCCAGACAGTCTTCTCGTATTAGCACCTTATCCACACACAACATCAGGCCTTGCTACAGGCCTTGCTCATTTGTCTGACCTGGAACATGGGGCCTTGGCTTATAAAGCGGCACTAGGCAGGAGGTCCTACTGAATTGGGGCACTTGGCAGCCTGGGTACCAAAACCTGAGCGAGAGGGAGTGCCCAAGCTGCTCAAGCACCTCAAGATGGCGCCAGAGAGCCAGAGCTGAGCTCCAGAAACCAAGTACTGGGAGTGTGAGACACTGCGTGTGACACGGTGTGTGACTCGCCGAGTGTGTGACAGGGAGCTTGTGGCACTGTGAGGGCGTGTGACACAAGTCGTGACACTGCGTGGCTTCACGGGGTAGAGACCCATTTGACTCTGAAGTACGTTAAGTCACCGCCTGAAGCGAGTGGCAGAGGGTAGGTGACCAGGCGACCCTCGAACAGCCTGACATCAGGAGAGTCATTTCATCCTCACACTTGAATATATATATATTTTTCTGTCTTCGCTCTAGAGCTCCCAGATCCCATCCTCTAACCCTTTCTACGGTCCCCTGTATAGTCTCGCTCCCACTGCAGCTCCGGCCGGAGGGGGAGGGGCGGACTTCCCCCGGAGCGCCAAGAGAAGGGAGGGCCACTCTGGGTTACTCGGGGGTCTGACTGGGAACAGGGTGGGCTTGGAGAGGTTACTCGGGGAAGATGCTGGGAGGGGAAACAAGAGCTAGAGGAGACACTTCCCCGGCTTTGACTTCCCAGGAGGCAGAGCGGGGGACAGGTGCTTGAGGCAGGGGAGAGCAATTCCGAAGGGGTCCTAGATGGAGGCTTGGGTGGGACGAGCGTGAGGTGAAGAGCCGAGAAGGAAGCCTTAGGCAATGGTGGGGACAGCGTAAAAGGAGGGGGAGCTGGTTTGGGGGCGCGGTGCTCAGGGTCCCCTCCCAGCGGGACCCGAGCGGTCCCAGCTCCACCTCCCGGCCGAAGGAGGGGGGAGGGAGGAGGGCGGGCAGGCCGGGAGGGGGGGGGGGGGGGGGGGCGGGCCGGCTGTGCGCTCCGCTCGCTGCTGGCTCCGCCGCCGCCGCCGCCGCCGCCGCTGCCGCCTCACACACTAGCGGAGCGGGAGCGCGGCGCGGACGCGAAGCCGCCGGGCTGCTGCGCTCACAGCCGGCCGAAGCCGGAGCCTGGACCGCAGCGCCAGCCTCAGCCGTGCCGAGCCGCAGCCCGCGCCGGGGCCGGCGGCGGCTCGCGGACAGCGGGGCGGGCGGCCGGTGCTGCCCCGAGGCGGGTAAGGATCTGGCGGCGGCGGCGGCGGCGGCGGCGGCTCGGGGCCCGGAGCGGCCATGGCCGGAGGGAGCGGAGGGAGGGGCGCTCGCCGGAGCGGGGAGACCGGGGCCCAGCCGGTGCCTAGCGCGGCGCGCCGGGGCTGAGGGGGAGGCCGTTGGGACACCGAGTCGGGGGTTGCGGCTGGGGCGCCCCGGTCTCCGAGGTCCACCGCAAGAAGCGGAGAGGAGGGAGGGGGGCGCAGAGTTGGACCCCGGCCCCGGCGTCCGCAGCCAGGCGCGCTCCGAGCCGCGGGGATGGGAGACTCCAGGGGCGCGCGGAATGGAGAAGGTTTGGGGGAAGCGCGAGGCCCTCAGTCCAGCCGTGGGCTGCTGGAGGACCAGGCAAGCCGGGAACATTATCCACGACACACACACTTGTTGGGCGATTTGCTCGGCTCACTCAGGCGCTTCCAGCTCGTCGCGGACACCTGGAGGAAGAGCCACATCGCAGACACATACACACATACATCCATCCGTACATATGTGAGCGCAGACATACCTCCCGCACACCAGCGCCCACTGGGGCACAGTCACCAGCTCGGGATCTGCTTCCGCGCCTGCACGATCGGCAGCGGGGACACAACCCGTGGCCACAGATAGCTACAACACAATCCGGCGTGATGCTGAGCGGTGCCGGACACACAAACACAACCTCACGCCTTCATGTGCGATTATGATTCCAAATGAAGGCTCAAATCCTAGCTCCCTACACCCAGCGTTGAGGGAACACACCCTAACACAACGCTTGCCCACTCCTTGGCCAGGACATAGGTACACAGCACGGGTCTTGCTTACCCCTCTCTACGGCACCCACACATGCACAAGCCAGTATCTCTTAGCACGCCGTGGCAGCACACACCCTAGCACACAGAGGCGCCTACAGCAGCGCCTCACAAACAGGATCCGCTGCTTCGAGCATCTTTAACACTGGTTGTCACACACACCTTACACCAACAGTGTCACATTACACTCCGCAGCGCGCGCGCGCGCGCGCACACACACACACACACACACACACACACACACACACACACACTCCACTCTCCCTGGCCAGATTCCCTCGGGAGAAGCCTCCAGGCTCTCCTAGAGAGCACCCGGAGCCCTGTCACCTCAATCGGGACTTTGTTATTGTGAATATCGGCGCGACCGGAGTCCCCGGGCCGGCCAGACCGGCTTCCCGGCGGCACCACCCCCCACTTCCACTCCGGGGCCTGACCGGCTGGGTATTCCGGGAACAAGCCGGACCTGACAGGCCGCGCCATGCCGCCACCCTGGGCCTGTGTGGACCTAGGTCCCTTTGCAAAAGGTACGACACTGTAGGTGTTTGGGACCTTTTTCGGGCCATTTGGCCGAGCTCCCCGAGCCTCCTGGGTTCCTAGCACACCTAGGTCGCGCACACCTGGGTGCCCCTCTCCGGGGGCCCGGTTGCAGGCCAGTCCTGTGTACCAACAAGGCCCCGGGGCCAGAATGGAGACGGCAGCATGCGCAGAAGAAAAACTGGTAGGCGAATAGGACTCTCGCCCCTTTCTCCGGCCACTCTCTGGTAGTTCAGGCTTCTGGCCTCAGTTTCCCCAGCAGTGAGGGCGACTATTTCTTCGGCAGGAAAAACAGGTGACGCTGAGGCCGTGGAGGACCAAGTGCAGGGCAAGTACCCGGTTTCTGCAGCCTCGAGAGGATCGGTTTTATGAGAATGTCCCCGCCCGGCCAGGCTCGCGGCTTTGTGATTCCGGCGCCGGCTTCCTCCCTGCCCCCTCCCGGCGCCCGCTGCGCTGCTCCCGCCGGCGCCGGCTCGTGGGGGGACCTAGGCGGAGTCCGGAGATGCGGGAGAGGAGGGATTCCCCGCGGCGGTCCCGAAGGCGAGGGACGTGAGTGGCCGCCTGGCCTAAGAGAGTTCTCACTGTACTGCGCCTCACCTAGCCTCACCTTGGGCTCCAGGAGGCCAGGCGTCACCCTGGTGGGGGCGGGGATGTGGCGACCAAAAGCTTAGGAGGGGCCGCCAGCTCCCCCCACCCCCGCCGCCCCATAGACACACACTCGGCGTCCTCTGGGAGGAGGCGCTCGGGTGTGCTTGGGTGTGTGCTGAGAGCGCTCGCTGACCGAGATGGTGAGGACTAGGGTGTCTCATGCTGGCCGAGCCTGGGACCTAGAGCTGGGAGGTCCAGGGCTCCCTCTAGCACTTGCTCTGGGTCAGCCCTCAGGAGTTGCCTGGACCGGTACATCCCAGAAGGTGTTTGTAGACCCTGAGAGGTCTAGATGTGTGTGAGAACGCCTGCGTGCTACTTTCTTGAGTGGGGGATGGGGTGGGGTCCACGGTGGGTTTGAAGCCTTAATAAGAATTAGGTGAGGTCAGAGGACCCTTAGAAAGGGTGGGAAGCAGGGCATGGGGGACAAGGCCGGGTTCTGGTGCATCCTCATCTAGTTGACTCCTCTCCGTCTCCCATCCCCAGTTCTACATTAGAAGGGCCCAGGGTATTTTGCATCTTTGGCTACTTCTGCAGAGAGCTGGGCAAGAGACGCTGCCTGGAATGGGGCCTGCATGGTGGGGAGGAACTAAGAGGAAATCCAGGTTCTGATGTGGGGTGAGAGGTGCCCCCGCCAGGAACAAGGCTGGTTGGCGTTGCAGAGGGGGATTTTGTTAAATAACGTATTGAGCAGATACTATTCGCCGGGGCCCATGTGGGAGCAGCAATAGAACAGGCACTGTCTTTTCTTTTACAGGCTAGTAGATTCGTTCCTTCAGTGATTGAGGCAGAGAGCACCTACTATGTGCCAGGTGTGGGGGGAGATGCTCCATTACAGGATTGGGAGACTTAAATAGCTGACCTGTCTTGCGACGTATGGGAATCTCATTTAGTTCTCCCACATAACTTGAAAGGGCAGGATTTTAAAAATTGTATTACCTTTATTTATTTAGTTTATCTGTGTGCACACACATTTGGAGGTCAGGGAATGACTTTCAGTAGTCAGTTTTCCCCTTCAACTCTGTAGGTCTCGGGAATCAGGTTCAGAGATAGGCTCCTACTGAGCCATCTTTCTTGTCCAAGAGGCAGGATTTCCTCTCCCCTCCCCCTCACTCCCCATTTAATAATATGGAAATGGATTCAGAAAAGTGGATCACCTGGATAAGGTCACACAACTATGAAGTGTTGGGGTGAGGGTTTGAACTCAGCAATCTGGCTCAAGAATGCAGGTGCCTGGGAGCATGCAGAGGCTAATGGCAGGTTCTGGAAGACGGGGAAGAGAAACAGTACTGCTCGCTGTGGGAAGCCCCTGAGCAGCTCCACCCCAGGCTGCTCTTCTTGCTTACCCTCCCGCCCAGGCTCTCAGATGCTCCCTTTGTCCTTTGGTGTTTTGTGTTTGCAGCCCCAGTGCTTGTTGTGTAATGGTGCTGGGGCAGGTGTAGGGGTCAGGGGCTTCAGAGCTGACCTGCTCACCGGGACAGTGAGAGCTGTAAGCACAGCAGTCAGCAAGGAGTGGACCTTGATCCCAAAGTGGTGTGGAAATGAAGGTTCCAAGTGAACCCTCACCTGTCCCCATACCTTCTCAGATGCTGACACAAGATGGGGACTCCTTTGACTCTTGTCCGTTTGTTCCTCGCTCCTACAGTCCTGATTTTTTTTTCTCAGTCCTGATGGAAACAGGTCAATGTGCCTTTCTCCACTTAGGGTCTGTCCTATCAGGGTCCTGGGCACCCATGTTCCTGGGTGGAGAGGCAGTCCTGCCTAGGAAGGCAGCCCAGGCAGATAAGGTACTAATCCCTTCAAAGGCTGCCGCCTGAGACTAATGACTCCCAGCACTAACCGCCTGGGACAAAGTTCAGCAATGTTGGGGGTAGGGAGGTGGAAAGGCCTCTTTACTGCTTCTCCCAGCCCTTCCTGGCAGGCCACATGACTCCCTCCACAGCTGCAAATGGCTGGGAGCTTAGGTTCCCTCTTGACCAGGCCAGGTTGGCAATCTAGGGTTGGGCCGGAAGTAATAAATGGAATAAATACCATATTTCAGCCTCAAGCTTCTGTTGAGTCTTTTCCCAAGTCGGGTCTTTTGAGTTGGGAAGAGATCCTGCCAGTTCATACAGTCTCTGTGACCTAGGGTGTTGAAGAGTTTTGAGTCTTATAGCATAAATGATGTGGAGAGTATGGGGCATGGTGGACACAGCTTTTTTTTTTTTTTTTTTTTTTTTTTTCTTTTTCTTTTAAGACAGGGTTTCTCTGTGTAGCTTTGGCTGTCCTGGACTCGATTTATAGACCAAGCTGGCTTGAACTTGGAGATCTGCCTGCCTCGGCCTCCCAAGTGCTGGGATTACAGGCGTGCACCACCACACCTAGACTGTGGGCACACCTTTTTTTAATCTCAGCACGTGGGAGGCAAAGGCAGGTGGATTTCTGAGTTCAAGGCCAGACTGGTCTACAGAGCAAGTTCCAGGATAGCCAGGGCTACACAGAGAAACCTTATCTCAAAAAAAAAAAAAAAAAAAAAAAAAAAAAAAAAAAAAAAAAAAAAAAACCAAACAAACAAACAAAAAAAAGGATGAGGAGAGAGCTTTAATAATAGGTGATAGCCATTTCAAATGATTGGCAAATTCCATGAAATGCTTAGCAATGCACTAGTAAAGCTTTAGAGTTTTTTGGGATCATGGTGGTGTTGGGTGGTAGCAGAGGTGGTGATGATAAAGTGTGCAGGGCTTAAGCTCTTTTTCAGCTCTGTGAAACTACTGTCTCTCAAGGTTGTTTTCCCAGACCTTCCTATCACAATTGCCTAGGTGGGGGTTCTCCAGGTCCCACCTTCCAATCAAAATTCCTAAGGGTAGGGCCAGATAATCCTTAGGTTGGTAAAACTCTCCAAGTACTTCAAGAACCGAAACTCTGCTTAACACTTGTCCCCTTTCTGGCCAAGCCTGCCTCCAGACCCCATCCCCATGACCTCCTCGGATTGTGCCTTACTCTGTGATAAACCTTTTTTGACTGCAGCTAGCTGGAGGCAAAGCAAACCCTTAAAGGGAGGTAGACCACAGACCAACCAATTTGCTGCCAAGTTTTGTGAACAGACATTTTCCTAGGAAAGTCCTGCTTGATAATATTGTGTAGTTCTCCAAGGGAATGTGCCCCCCGCCCCAAAACATGACCTCTTGATCTGGGGGCAGAAAGCACTGATGAGGAAGCTTTTTTGAGCAGTCCTCTGGAGATAATTTTTAGGTTGGAGCTTGAAGCAGTATGGAGGATGGTTGATCCAAACAGGGCATCATGAAATTCTTCCTCCTTCAAAGAGAGTAAGCTGTGGCTGAGAATGGCGTGCACAGTTCTCTGGTGAAGGTCTCACAGGTTCAGGAGGGGCCTGTATTTGGGGAAGGCTCTCCAAGGAGATGTTGTGCTTGAGTTGTCCAAGGAATCAGTACATTTGGTGAACATTTGCTGAGCATCTACTACAGAGTAGACTCTAAATAGAGATTTGCATTTTATCCCAGTAGATTCCTTAGGGAATTGGCAAGCAGGCGAGTGACTAAGCCATTGACCATACAACCAAGGCCATCATCGGGAGCTAAACCCAGGGAACCAAAATAACCCCCACTGCGCAAGAACTGTTTACTGCGCATCTACTATATGTTGGGTCCAAAGCTAAGATGACACAGTAAACAATCAGAGGGTTATAACTGTAATCTCAGCTCTCAAGAGGCTTGAGTTTAAGGCCAGGCTCGTCTACATCTTGACCTCCAGGACAGCATGTTACAGGGTACGAAATCCTGCCTCAAGAAATGCTGTCAGCTTATGGTCCTGTAAGAGAGATAAACATTCACCAATTTTCCAAATAGGCCTGTGACTACAATTGTGCTTTGAAAGAAAGGATTGTTTGTTGAGTGCCTACTTTTAGCCGGTGTGAACTCAAACCCACCGGGAAATAGATAGCATCGTCTGCATTTGATGGGTGAAGAAACTGAGGCTTTGAGTTTTTGCTCCAAAAGTCTGCAGCCAGGGCTTGCCTCACAGTATCCGAAGTCAGAACCCAAGCCCATCTTCACCCTTCTGCCTTACAGATGCCAAGTGGGTACACAGAGGTAACGCAGCAAACTGACAGTCACTGAGCTAGAAGCACCGTGGGAGCAGATGGGCCCAGTCTGAATAGGCACAGTTTTACCCAGTTTTACAAGGTTCATCAGTGGGGCAGGGGGATGAGTGAGTATATGAACTCTTGCCTCTTTGGAATGTCTGGCATCTTCCTGGGGAGACGGAGAACACAGAATAGGTGCTCAATACTATAGTTGAACAACAGGGCTGGGCAGTGGCCGGGGCAGCCCAGTGATTCATTGCCGTAGGATTGGCATAGACAATAAGTGGCTGTGAATTGGAGGAGGACAGAGGTCACTGTGGGCTGGAGAGACCTAGGAAGGCTTTGTAGGGTTGTGGGTGGAGGGAGGCAGAACCTGTCTTCAGTGGGATGGGCATGATCAGTGTAATGCCTGGAAATTCCAGGGGTGAGGAGCATGACACCTTCCTCCCTCCCTACAGAAAATGCTGGACCAGAGACTTGGGGTTTGAATAGAGGAAGGGTTTGCCAGGGTTGCCTTTTTGGAGACAAGAGAGCAGTGATTGGGACAGCACTGGCAAGTCTGATAACATAGGCAGGTGGGCAGCCTCAGAACTGGGTGATGAAAGAGGCAGCCATTGTGGTAATGGTGGTGCAACTTCTAGTCTTGAGTGTTCACAGCACAGCCCTTCCTGGAAGGCTCTGGGGGTGGCAGAGGGAGGAGGGTGTAAAGACACTGGACCAGTCAGGGACGGGAGGTGGTGAGTATGCAGCAAGCTCTGGATGCAGACCGTGATAAGGGTCAAACAGGAGCCAAAGTCCGGTGTGGTACTGCTCATCTCTAATCCCAGTATTCTGAAAGCTGAGTCAGGAGGAGTTCAAGGCTAGACTAGGATACCTTGTGAGACTCTTTTTTTAAACCCAGGTCTGAGAATGCGGCTCAATGTTTGACCATTCATCTAACAATGCTCTGTGCTCAAATCTCAGGACCAGAGGAGAAAAGAAAAGAAAAAGAAAGAACCAGGAGGCAGATAGATGAGCATCTGGAGAGCAGAGGGGGTGGACCAGGGAAAGGCTGATGGTGTCATTGAAGCTCTGTCCCAGTTAGAGCTGCTGGGCTCTCTGTTGCTAAGGACAGGCCAGGGAAGCTCCCAATGCCAATTTGAAGGTCAGTCAGTCCTAACCCTAATCTTGGCCTCTATTCCTCACACCTGCCCATGGCAGGTGTGTGTGTGTGTGTGTGTGTGTGTGTGTGTGTGTTGAGACACATTTGTATGGAAGCCAGAGAGAGCTAACACCTATTCATTTCAGCATTTTCTTGTTTTAAAATTCTTTTTATCATATTTATTTACATAAGTGTTGAAGGCTGCATATCACAGGAAGTGTTTGGGGGTCAGAGGATAACTTCCAAGGGCCAGTTGTCTCCATCTGATGTAGGCCCCTGAGACTGAACACAGATCTTCAGGCTTGGCAGCAGGCACCTTTACCCACTGGGCCATCTCACTGGCCCTGCTACCAGCCACTTTCACAAGGTATTGGCATTCAGTTATGGGAGTGGGGAACACTGGGCGCCGTGGATGCTCTTTGTCAAAAATGGAGGATTTGGGGTGTAATCCCACATACACATAAGCTTATTTGCCATCTCAGAAGAAGGAGAAATGAAATACTCTTCCACTCTTCCTCCAGCTATCGTGAGAGGGAAGCCCGGGCAATGACTCTCAGGGTCTGGGGTATTTGAGGGGTTGGTACATGCTGCTCTCGTACTACACGTGTGGGGAGGAGTGTTCCAACGGGAGATGTCCCAGGCCTAACCCTTCCCCTTGCTTTTGCTCTGTATCTCAGTATCAGGGTAATTACCATGGGTGACTAAGGCAAGATGCTGGTGAGAAGGAGGTGTTGTGCAAAGCACAAAGCTGAAAGCAGACAGCGAAGGAGGGTGGGGGGCGGTGCCCAGGGAACGTCAGCTGGGTAAGGGCGTGCCATGGGCTGGAACTGCTGTAGACCTGCCTGTCATCTTACCAACTTCACCAGCTGGGTCAGGCACAGCTGCTACACCCCACCGTGGGTGAGACTCTGGGTTCTGGAATCCCAGATCTGGGCCGGGAGAATGGTGTATCGCTGGGAGAGGGTGGGGTGGGGGGTTGGCTCTGGCAGCCTCCAGGGTTGACTTCCTCTTCAGAGCTGATGGCCTCTACTCTGTCTTCTTGTAGTTCTCCTGGTTCTGGATCCTCCCAGGATGGGGCCTCTGAGGTCCAGCCCAGGGCCTGGGGGGCAGCGGCTGTTGCTGCCCTCCTTACTGCTCGCATTGCTGCTCCTACTGGCTCCATCTGCAGGCCATACCACCCAGATAATATACAAGGTGCAAGAGGAACAGCCGCCCAACACCCTCATCGGGAGCCTTGCTGCTGACTACGGTTTTCCAGACGTGGGTCATCTGTATAAACTTGAGGTAGGTGCTCCGTACCTCCGAGTGGATGGCAAGACTGGTGACATTTTCACCACAGAGACCTCCATTGACCGAGAGGGGCTCCGTGAATGCCAGAACCAGATCCCTGGGAATCCCTGTATCCTGGAGTTTGAGGTGTCTATCACGGACCTCGTGCAGAACGGCAGCCCCCGGCTGTTAGAGGGTCGGATCGAGGTGCAGGACATTAATGACAACACGCCCAACTTTGCCTCACCGGTCATCACCCTGGCTATCCCCGAGAACACCAACATCGGCTCGCTCTTCCCCATCCCACTGGCCACGGACCGAGACGCTGGCCCCAATGGGGTGGCATCTTATGAGCTACAGGCTGGGCCCGAGGCCCAGGAGCTCTTCGGGCTGCAGGTGGCCGAGGACCAGGAAGAGAAGCAGCCACAGCTCATTGTCATGGGCAACCTGGACCGAGAGCGTTGGGACTCCTACGACCTCACCATCAAGGTTCAGGATGGTGGCAGTCCTCCCCGTGCCAGCAGCGCCCTGCTTCGTGTCACTGTGCTTGATACAAACGACAATGCCCCCAAGTTCGAGCGACCGACCTACGAAGCTGAGCTGTCTGAGAACAGTCCCATTGGCCACTCGGTCATCCAGGTGAGAGGCCCACTCCATTTTACCCATTGGGGTGATTTGCCTTTAGAAATGGGATCTCCCAAAAGCAGGTTAAAGATTCCTTCACTTAGGGGGAAAAACCCAACAGAAAGCTACGGGACCCTCACTTCTCCCCAGCCCCAGCCAAAAGAGACTTTTTCACCAGCTTCCTCTCCTCCACTTCAACAAGTGGTACTTTCTTCTGCTGTCAATCAACTTAGATGACAGTGACATAACATCTCAATAGCATCATACCTCCCCATCAGACTCAGCTTAGGGAAACTTCTTGGGAAGTGAAATTGCTCTGAGCTCAGGGAGTACCCTCTGCTTAGCCCAGGCTGGATCAAGGAACTCTCATTTTACCCAGTAGACACCCTCCTGTCATGAGAGTGTCTTCTACCCAGGGGCAGGGCCCTTTAGACAGGTGAGCTTTCACTTCAGCTAAAGACTCAACCTCATTGTGCCCCTGCCCAACAAAGCCATGAGACATTGTCAGCCAGAAGTCTCCTCAGTTCTGACAACATTCTTCAGACTGCTTTCACACTTGCTCCTTCCCCTGCGATGGGGTGCCATTGGTATGTGGTGTCAGTAACTCTACAAAAGTTCTCAGCATCCTTCTTCATGGGAACCGCCCCAGGGGCAGGGCAGCAGCTTGGTGGGGCTAGGGCCTTGGAGGGAGCAGAGAAGCGTCCTGGCAGACAGGTGGGCGTATCTCCCGCTGTCATCTCGGCCCCTGGCCTCCTGCCAGCCCTGTCTTCTTTCTCCTTCCCCATGGGCTGAAGGTATCTCTGTCCATGATGTGAGTAAGCCAAAGAGAGTTCAGCTGACCTGGACACCATTACTCAACCTGAGACCCTTCGTTCTGGGTCCTGGAGCTGAAGTGAGTGGGTGGCAGTTTTTAATCTTTTCTAGAGGCTGGTGGACTAGAATATAGCAACAAGGCTGAGAAAGAATAGAAAGACAGCCATTCGGGATGGTGAATAATAATAGTCTAGGGGCCAGGCACTGTTCTAAAATACACTATGTGCATTATATAATTTAATCCTTACCGTACAAAGTAAGTAAGCATTATGCCCATTTTACAGATAGGAAACTGAGCCCATAGAGATTTTTAAACTTGCCTGCGGTTGGAGCCCACCTTACCCACATGGGACATGCGGAGTCCTTAGAGGTTGGCAGTGTTGAAAAGTGGATGGGAAGAGACCAGGTGGTGGAAAAGAGGCAGAGTTAGAGTTAAGCAAGAGTGGAAAGCTAAGAGTCATAGATAGAAATAAAGATGAGAGGTCGGTTAAGGAGCTAGCTGAGAAGTGAGGTGACCAGTCTAGAGACAGGAATGCCACGGGAGCATAGTCAGGGAGCTGGTGATGGACATGCTGGGATTGGGTAGGGAAATAGAGGTTTGCCTTTAAAGGTGTGAAGGGGGCAGGTGGTGATGGCTCATTCCTTTAATCTCAGCATTTTGGTGGCAGAGGCAGGAGAATCTGTGAGTTAGAGGTCAGCCTGCTCTACAGAGAGTTCCAGTACAGCCCACACAGAGAAACCCTGTCCCCAAAACAAAAACAAACAAACAAAGAGGTATGAAGGACACCAGAGTAGCTGGGAGCCCTTGTCCATAGGAAAGCCTTGATGGGTATGGACCCTTCCCGAGGAGAAGGACGGAAGTTCAGCAGTGGCACAAACGACTCTAGGTGCTGTGCTCAGCACTGTGTAATTGGACTTCTTAGAGACAGATGGACGGGAACAATGAATGAATGGATGACAGATAAAAAGAAAAGCGGAATTATTTAAGAGTCACTCGCCATGTTCCAGGCAGCAGCAGGTATTTCTTTTATATTACCCCATTTAACCTTTATCACAATCTTAGGAAATAAGTTCTATTAATCATCCCCATTTTATACATTTGTAGAGAGAGGCTAGGGAAGATTAAATAATTGGCCCAAGGCCATATAATTAATTGGAAAGCGGTCGAGCTGGGATTTGAACTCAAGACTTTCATTTTGCTCCTTAGAGGCTCTGCCAAGTTATGCCTACTCCTTCCCACCCTTCCCCCCTCACACATACACTTCATTACAATTCTGTTTGCCTGTAAACACTTCCAAACCCTCACCAGTGGTACCTCCTCACCATTCCCACCTGGCTTCTGTTGCCCCATTACCACCCATGTTTGTGTAGACTGGTCCCAGTGCAGGGCGGCATTGGCGTGGGAGGGCGTGCCCGCTGCAAAGGGACAGGCAGTTCATTGTTTGGTTCTGGAAGCCCAGCCTGCTGCCAGCAGGCTCTGTGGCCTGCACCAAGCCCTCCCTTCTGGCCCCAGGCTCAGGCTGGATTCCTCACACTGGTGCCTTGCCAGCAACAGACAACAGTAAGGGAGTTGAAGAAACAGGTTTCCCCAGTTTGACAGCAGTGGCTGGGTTGGGCCCGCCGGGCTCTTTCTGACCCGTATCTCTCTCTACCTGGTTGCTTTCAATAGAAATCCCCTCACCTGGGGCCTCTAGTTGGGCATGGGGGTCCACACTGTTGCATGCGCACGCATGAATGAACACACCTTCTCACACTGAAATATAAGCACAGCTTAGAGTCACATATTTGTAAGTATGTCACATGCCTGCATACCAGGTATGTACACAATAAGTGCACGCATGCCTGCCGTCTCTGATGCGTAAATCCTTTCTCATCCCTTCAGAATGCGGGGGGGGGGGAGAGCTCGTTTGACGAAAAGGGTTTGCTCGATCCTCACCTCTGTGCTTAGGTGGACTGGTACAAATGAAGAGTGGAATATAATTCTGCCCGGTCCTGGCCATGTAGTGTCACTAAGAAGGATTTGCAAGCTGCATCTGAGCTCTTTAGGAAAAGAGGTTAGCGGCATCGACCAGGGTGCCAGGCCTAGGGGAAAGACCACACCGAGTGCTGCTTTTGGAAAGGTTGCTAAGCTAGCATCATTGAGCCTGACCTGCTTGTGGGAAAGGACCTCAGCAGCACGTGCACTGTTAGCTCACTAACCTGTCCCCATCCCCTGTAGGTGAAAGCCAATGACTCGGACCAAGGTGCCAATGCGGAGATTGACTATACCTTCCACCAGGCGCCCGAAGTGGTCAGGCGTCTCTTGCGACTAGACAGAAACACTGGACTCATCACCGTTCAGGGCCCCGTGGACCGCGAGGATCTAAGCACTCTGCGTTTCTCGGTGCTCGCCAAGGACCGAGGGGCCAACCCCAAGAGTGCCCGTGCCCAGGTAGTTGTGACTGTGAAAGACATGAACGACAATGCCCCCACCATCGAGATCCGAGGCATCGGGCTGGTGACTCACCAAGACGGGATGGCCAACATATCGGAGGACGTGGCCGAGGAGACCGCTGTGGCCTTGGTGCAGGTGTCCGACCGGGATGAGGGAGAGAACGCGGCTGTCACCTGTGTGGTAGCAGGTGATGTGCCCTTCCAGCTACGCCAGGCCAGCGAGACAGGCAGTGACAGCAAGAAGAAGTACTTCCTGCAGACCACCACGCCTCTCGACTACGAGAAAGTCAAAGACTATACCATTGAGATCGTGGCTGTGGACTCCGGCAACCCCCCGCTCTCCAGCACCAACTCCCTCAAGGTGCAGGTGGTAGATGTCAATGACAACGCCCCCGTCTTCACCCAGAGCGTCACTGAAGTTGCCTTCCCGGAAAACAACAAGCCCGGGGAAGTGGTGGCCGAGGTCACCGCCAGTGACGCCGACTCTGGCTCGAACGCAGAGCTGGTGTACTCTCTGGAACCCGAGCCAGCGGCGCAAGGCCTCTTCACTATCTCGCCCGAGAACGGAGAGATCCGGGTGAAGACCTCGCTGGATCGGGAACAGAGAGACAGCTATGAGCTGAAGGTGGTGGCGGCCGACCGAGGCAGCCCCAGCCTTCAGGGCACAGCCACGGTCCTTGTCAATGTGCTTGACTGCAATGACAATGACCCCAAATTTATGCTGAGTGGCTACAACTTCTCCGTGATGGAGAACATGCCAGCGCTGAGTCCAGTGGGCATGGTGACTGTCATTGACGGCGACAAGGGGGAGAATGCCCGGGTGCAGCTCTCGGTAGAGCAGGACAATGGTGACTTTGTTATCCAGAACGGCACAGGCACCATCCTATCCAGTCTGAGCTTCGATCGGGAGCAGCAGAGCACCTACACGTTCCAGCTGAAGGCGGTCGACGGTGGCGTGCCGCCTCGGTCGGCGTACGTTGGCGTCACCATCAACGTGTTGGATGAGAACGACAATGCACCCTTTATCACGGCCCCCTCCAACACGTCTCACCGACTGCTGACCCCGCAGACGCGTCTCGGTGAGACGGTCAGCCAGGTGACAGCGGAGGACATTGACTCCGGCGTCAATGCTGAGCTGATCTATAGCATTGCCGGTGGCAACCCTTATGGACTCTTCCAGATTGGATCGCACTCAGGTGCCATCACCCTGGAGAAGGAGATCGAGAGGCGCCACCACGGACTACACCGCCTTGTGGTGAAGGTCAGTGACCGTGGCAAGCCTCCTCGCTACGGCACAGCCTTGGTCCACCTTTACGTCAATGAGACCTTAGCCAACCGCACCCTGCTGGAGAACCTGCTTGTCCACAGCTTGGACACGCCCCTGGATATTGACATTGCCGGGGACCCGGAATACGAGCGCTCCAAGCAGCGGGGCAACATTCTCTTTGGTGTGGTGGCCGGCGTGGTGGCTGTGGCCTTACTCATCGCGCTGGCGGTACTGGTGCGCTACTGCCGGCAGCGGGAGGCCAAGAGCGGGTACCAGGCTGGGAAGAAGGAGACCAAGGACCTATACGCCCCCAAGCCCAGCGGCAAAGCTGCTAAGGGAAACAAGAGCAAGGGAAAGAAGAGCAAGTCCCCGAAGCCTGTGAAACCAGTGGAGGATGAGGATGAGGCTGGGCTGCAGAAGTCCCTCAAGTTCAACCTAATGAGCGATGCCCCCGGAGACAGTCCCCGAATCCACCTGCCCCTCAACTACCCGCCAGGCAGCCCCGACCTGGGCCGCCATTACCGCTCCAACTCCCCACTGCCTTCCATCCAGCTGCAACCCCAGTCACCCTCGGCCTCCAAGAAGCACCAGGTGGTGCAGGACCTGCCGCCTGCAAACACGTTTGTGGGCACCGGGGACACCACGTCCACGGGCTCCGAGCAGTACTCCGACTACAGCTATCGAACCAACCCCCCCAAATACCCCAGCAAGCAGGTAGGCCAGCCCTTTCGGCTTAGCACACCCCAGCCCCCGCCCCACCCCTACCACGGGGCCATCTGGACCGAGGTGTGGGAGTGATAGAGCAGGTAGTGCGCCTGCCATGATCGACTAGATCATGTGCGAGCATCCTGAGCTAGCCGTGGGAGGTGGGAACACTGATCTGGGGGTGCTGAGGCCTCAACTAAGGGTCCTGCTGCCTTGCCCAGTTAGGGAGGGTTAGGCTGAGTGGAAACTGACTTGGGGTGGGGCTCTGTCCTCCCAGCTCCTCCCCACAGGGAGAAGCCTGGCTTGTCAGATCCCAGGATGCTGAACTAGCTCCCGGGTCTTTCAGGTGGAGCTGATGGGCAGGTAAATAGGTTTGGAGATAGAAGGGAACAGGGGGAAATGGGAGGAGACTGCTCCAAACATGGGTCTCTGCTGGAGATCAGCTCTATAGGTGCTCCTTTGGAGGGGACACAGAAGACCTAGAAACTGGGTGGGAACTCTGCTAGAGAGGGGGGAACCTCCCCACTTGTGCCTTCTACATGTACTGTGTGTTAACTTCTTCCTCATCCCCAGGCCCCAGGGGCTGGCCCCATGTCCCCTACCCCAGCCCTATTCATGTGGCCCTACAATAAAGTTGTCTATTTTTGGAGTTTTGGTTTCTTATTTTCCCGGAACTGAGAGAAGCAGCGAGAGAGACTGGAAGCAGCTTTGTTCTCAAATCCTGCCTCAATTTCACTATATCCCTCCCTACTCCCTAGACCCGCCTGCTTTACTCGGGAGCCCTATCTTAGCATATTATCTCCCAGCCACCCCCACACCCATCTCCATGTCTGGAGAAAGTTTCAGCTTTCAAATGGAGGAGTGTGGTAGCTTGCTTCCTCACCATATACTCCATATTTGTGAGGCTTTCTCCCTGCCCTAGGACTCTTCACCAAGAAAGAGTTGGAAAGGTTCTGTTTCCCTGGTCCCAGACAATTTTTTCCTATCTGCCTGAATGGAATAGCTTCTGAGAAACCTGAAGCCAGAGCACCTGTGTGGGGTGGCAGCCAGCCTTCCTGCCCCAGGTGAGGCCAGAGAACCTTTTGATTACACCATCCACTTTCCCTTAGGGCAAGCTCTTCCCCCAAGTCTCTTTCCCAGCCTCTTCATCACACCAACACTCAGCAATTAGCTGGTCCTGTCCTGTGTCTCCTCATGATCCAGCCTGGGAAGGGCCCTGGGAGAAGCAGGGGCTTCTCTAACACTGCAGAGACTCACTTCACACCCTCATGCTTGGGTGAGCCTTTGCCATAGGATGAGGTGTCCCATTTCTGCCTCCTGCCCGAAGCCACCTCCATCCCCTTCTGCCAGCCCCTTAATCTAGCCAGGATCACCAGCTGGCTCTCACTCTCTCTCCCTCCGTCTCTCACTTCTTGCTCTCCTGGGTCTCCTCTGTCTCCAGTTGTGCCTGAGGGAAGTTAAGGTGTGGGTGAGGGGCCTTCTGTCCTGGGGGAGTCTCTGAGGTCAGAGGCAGCTTATCTCCATGGTGATCGAAGAGGCTTGAGACACTCCCAGGAGGTCCAAGGCGCCAGCTCTCTTCTTGGTTCCATGTATAAACTCCCCAAAGTCCTGGGATACCCCCCAAAGTGAAAAGGCAATCCGAAGAGTTTTGGAGGAGCAGGGTTTGGGGAGGTCATATCTAGTTACAACTTCTTTCTCCTGAGAAGTCAGGATATCTCAGGTGACTTCCAGAAACTCGGGACCTCCCACTCTTTCTCTTCCATTTCTGCCTTGCAACTGTTGCTTCTTCCATACTTTTAGTTCACTGAGCCCTTTTCTTCCCCCTCAAGGTCTGAGGGATTGTCCTTCACTGGTCTCCAACCCAGCCCATCCGCAGAAACACACTGAATACCTCCTCCCAACATTTGAATATAACCAAACTACATTACCTGTTGTCTTCGACTGAGCATATAGGCCAAGTTTCTACTGTGTGCTCAGCATGGTACTCAGAAAAAATGGTTACAAGTGAAATGAAACATAAGTATCAAGTGTCAATGAATCCTATGCGTCAGAGCTTTTACCTATGTATACTGCAAAACTCTTTTAGGTTGGTTTTGTTTGTTTGTTGTTTTGTTTTTGAGACAAAAACATTATGTAGCCTGAATGGTCTGGAGCTTGCTATGTAGACCTGGCCTCGAACTCATAGACATCCACTGCCTTTGCCTTCCTAGTGCTGGAATTAACTCATGCACCACTATCCTAATTCTATGAAACTTGTATTACTGCTGTTTCCCATTTTGGGAGGCCTTGCTAGGTGCAAGGTACCATATGTGAATTCAGTCAATGCTCATAACTTTATGACACAGGCCAGTTTATTATAGTCATTTCACATAAGTGAAAACTAGCAGTTGATAAAGTTAAGATTTAAGCACAAAGCATCAGGGAATCTGATTGTCAGAGTCTGCCATTATCTACTATACAATTAAAAGCTGATTCTGTGATTAAGTTAGTAAGAGACTAGCTATCACATTAGCCTATAAAAAGTTCTGCAAAACCCTGTAAGAAAGGGTGAACTTGTTAAACTTGTATAACTGAGTTTTCCACATTTGTTTGTCTGTAACATCTCCTACTTTTAGGATATAATGTTGGGGAAATATGAATGGGCTTATAGGGGAATAGGAAACCAGAGCCAGCTTGTCAGTGGTGAGTAGGATTTGGGCAGAAGGTCCCCACCCCCCTGGCCTAGGGTCACTGTGTGAGCAGCTCTTGAAGCAGGGGGTGAGTGTCACCAGGTTGCAAGCAAGAAGAGGATGGAAAAGGGACCATTCAGGTTGGAGTGGAGGGTGTGGGAGAGAGTAACATGAGCCTGAAGAACTACAGATTGTATAGGACAAGGATTCCTTGCTGAATGTCCCTGAAGAAGAGAAGCAAGTCCCCTTATATCTCAGTTTGCCGGATGAACTGAATTTTAGAAAGAGCCACTTGCCCTGCCTAGCCTGTGTAAAGCTAGGCCTAGCTTAATGTTCATCTGTGCTGAAGGGCCTGGAGGGGGCTTTGGATCACTAAGGTTTACACTGAGGTTGGCAGTAAAGAAGATAGGTGGATGGATTTGGCTGAATTTAGGGAGAAAGGGCCAATAATATTCAAGATCCTAGTTGATAGGGAGTAGGGGTGGGGAGAACTGAGGGAGAACTCTCAGAATTCCCAGGTGGATATCAGCTTTCTGACTGTGGGTGATGAGATAGTGATGAGCTCACTGCCTATGTGAAAGACAATCGATGAAATATAATTTGAGTTCAGACATGCTGGGTCTGGAGGGTCTGTATGGGTAGGTAGCCCATGAAATGCTCAGCAAGGTCTTAGGATCTTCAGGACCAGAGACTGAGGGATTTGGGACCTGGTCTCTTAAGATTTTATAGAATTGCCAGAGCAGTTGAGGTTGAGAATAACCATCCAGCATTCACTGGAAAAACAAAAACAAAAACCCTGGGGAAAGGCCCAAGGGACATGCCCACATGTAGGACTGAACTCCTTGATTACTGGGTTCTTTAGAAAAGAAGGGCTGATGGTCAGTCTTGACAAAAAACAAGAAGCATCAATAACCAAGCTGGCTTGTGCCTTTGAGGACTGTCCTGGTGCCTCTGTATCCCCAAAACCAGGCGAACCTTGCTCCTTTATAACCTCATAGCCCCCAAAGTGCAGGTCAGTTCTGGAGTCTGGTTTCATCACCCAGATCCTGCACTGGTTGGAACCAAATGTGTTCCTGAAAAATGGGAGGTAGCAGTGCGCTGCCTTCCTATCACTCCAAAGCTCTTTGTCCTGACAGCCCGTCCCCTGACACCAGACGCCAGACATTAAAAGGAGGTTGCAGAAGGTGGAGAGTGAGAGTGTGGGCTTACAAACCTGAGACCATCTTTATTTACTATTTCCTTGACCTTTTGTGAAAGGGCCACAGAGCTGAGACAAGTTGCTTCTGTCTTAGAGAATTAAAGTCTGTTGACTCAACAGGACCTGGGCCTTGTTGCTCCTCTGGCCTCCAGGGGCCCAGGATTGGTGCCCTTCACAACTCCTAATTTCTGGCTGGCAGGAAAACCAGTGGAGGTCCCAGGTGGGTGGCTTGATGATTGTGCCAAGTGCCAGGCTGAGGTTGCCAGGTTCCTGGTCTGATCATTAACCCATGGCAAACAGGCAGAACAACTGGCAGGAAACCGGCTGCTGCCACCATTCCATTCTCTCAATGCCAACATCCAGTCTAAACTCATCTTGTTCTGCGAAGCAGGGGGTCCCTCCTAGCTCCTTTCATTTCCTAGAGGGGTCTCCATGGAGAAGAGCCTTCCCAGTCCTGGATGGATGTCATGTGCTCTGCCATGAAGGGCATTGCCCTCAGCAGTCCCTTTCCACACATGGAGCACTGAAGGGTTCCATTTATGTTCTCTTGACCCCAATGGGTCTGACTTCTCTCTCCTCCCTTCATATGCTCCCATATTCAGGCCTCTATGAAGGGATTTGTGGGGGGCTGGGGACTCAGTAGGAGGGCCTCTTTGAGGCCTCAGCACTGAAGACTTGGTCTGAGGAGCAAGATTCAAGAGGTTGGTACCTTTTGGATGGAGGCAACGGGGAGTTACAGAGCAGTGAGACAGGTGAGGAGCTCAAGCCGAGAAGGTACATTAGACCGTTCTGTTCAGAAGGGCTGTCTGGGAGTTAGGAGTCCTGCTTTCAGGAAGCTGTTTCAGAAGCTTGAGGTCTGTGCTGGTGTTTAGAGGCCCGGCTGGCATTTGGAGTTGGCTGAGACTGTGCTGTCTGCTCTCGGGCTCTACTCTGTATCGGGGCTCATTCTGTTCTGGAAGGCAAGGGAAGCCATGCTTGTGTCGGGAAGCCGGGCTAGAACTAGAAGGGCTGTGCTGAAATGGTGTAGTTCTGGGCTAGGGTTGTGATGGCAGGCTGGGGCTGTAATAACAGTGGGACCTATGCTGTGTTGGGATTTTCAGTGTGTGGACCTGGCTGTACTGGGAGCTAGCCTCGAATTAAGAGGCACCTCTACTACAGGCTGTGCTTTCTGGGGCCTATGCTGTACTAAGGGGCTGGACCTCTTCTTGGCTGCTGCTGAGGCCTGGGAGGGTCTTGCTGGGCTGGGAACTGGTGTGGTGCTGCATTGGAGGAGGCTTGCCAGCCAAGAGTAACGCTCTGTCTCCCTACAGTTACCTCACCGCCGTGTCACCTTCTCGGCCACCAGTCAGGCCCAGGAGCTGCAGGACCCATCACAGCACAGTTATTATGATAGCGGCCTGGAAGAGTCTGAGACGCCATCCAGCAAGTCATCCTCAGGCCCCCGGCTTGGTCCCCTGGCCCTACCCGAGGACCACTATGAGCGCACCACCCCTGACGGCAGCATAGGTGAAATGGAGCATCCTGAGAACGGTGAGGAGCGTCGGCATGGCTGAGGCAGGCCAGGAATGTGTGAAAGTCCAGGAAGGGTGACGCTGCTTTAAGACGAGCCTCCGTGTCTTGACTTGTGTTTGCATGTACTGTAAACACATGTATCTACTCATTTACTCCTCACACTCTCTGAGCTGAGTGCTTGATGGTACCCACTTTACAGTGGGGAAAAACTGAGACTCAGAGAGGGTTCTGCAACTCTCCCAAAATTGCACATCTGGAAAGCAACAGAACTGGAAGGGATTCATATCTATGTCTGACTCTAGGGTCTTTGGGTTCAGCATGGCCTTACACTGCCTTCCTGGGCACAGGGATTGTGAGAATGGTGGTCAGGAGGCACAGATAATGATGAAGAAACTGGAAGGAGGCTGGTGGTCCCCAAATGAGTGAGAGGATTTGAGATAAGAGCATGATGCTCAAACGATGGCACCCAGATGATGAGGGATTCAGAGCAGAATAGACTCTTCCCCCGTCCCCCAGGAGAAGAGTGGGAGAAGGTTAAGGAAGAGCTGGGAGGAAGTCTGACAGGGTGGGTCTGTCTGATGGGAGGGGTCTGAAGGGAGAAGCTGCAGCAGAGGTGAGCGTGGGAATGGATTGAGAGAGTATGCCGGTGGTGCACGTGTGTGTCCACGGGAGTGTGTGCGAGAAGGCATCCATGGCAGCCTGTGAAGGGGAATCTAAATAAGCCAGCCCTCGGGACAAAAAGACTGACTTAGAGCTGTCTTTGGGGCTCATACTTCTCTTAGTCCAAAGTCTCCCTCCTCCCAGAAGATGAAAAGTCCCAGGCTTCACCCTGAGCCATAGGGCCCTGAGTAACCTCCAAGGCCCTGGGCCCAGAGCACCCTCTGCCCTGTCTCCTGCCACTCTATGCGTGATCTCATGCCAGTCTCGTCCTTTTTGTGCCCGCGCAGAGCCGGCTGGCCGGAGCAGGCCCTGAGGCAGAGTGCCAGGTAGGTGGGAGCTGCTCTGGGGTCTGGGGTCTATGGGACTCGCCCCAGCACCCAGCCCCGCCCACCCAGTGCTCTGTGCCATACCGGGTCCCCCAACCCTGAACTAAAGAGCTTTGGCGCTTTGAGGGTTTGCAACCAAACTATCCCCTCCTCACCTTACACTGGCAGGAGGCCAAGCTAGGGTTGGGTGGTGCTGGGGGAGCCCCTGCCCCAGGCAGAGCTTCTCAGTCATGTCCCCGAGGGGGGTCACCGCCTGGTGCTGTCCCTGAGTCAGGGCGGCACAGGGGCAGCTGTGACAGGAAGTGCTCATGGCCCAGCCGTTCCCATGGAGACTCGCTGCCCAGCAACCACACTGGCTACTGCTGATGTCAGGCGGCCAACTCCTGTTCCCGTGGGTGTTCTGGGCAGGGAGCTGGGGGCAAGGCCAAGGGTGGTGGCTGGTGAGGGGCTGGTGTGAGGTGGGCAGGGGCTGCATGTGTGTGCTTGTTGGTTGTGTGTGTGTGCTTACGTGTGAACATCCCACGTAGAAGCTCGTCTCCTCCCCTTGGCTTTAAAGTAAGGCATTGCTGTGCTGGGGTGGGGTGGGCTTCTGAGGAGGCTGGGAGCATGTAAGGCTTAAGGGGACTTGGAAGGTATGTGCCGTCTTTGTCTGGGGACAGAGGTGTCCAGTGGGTATTGTTGTATAACCACGGCTCTGTATGTGTGTGGGGGGTGGGGCTCTCAATCACAATGGGGTTTCCTCAACCCCTTCTGAAGGTGGAATTCCATGACTGAACCTGTCTGGAGACAGGTGACGGTTTGCAGATTCGCTGTTTGTGCACCTGTCTGAGGGCAGATTTGGTGGGTGTGTGAGAATTGTGCTGGAGGGTAGGTGAGGTTGGAAGAATAGCACTTATTTAAGGTGTGTGTGTGTGTGTGTGTGTGTGTGTGTGTGTGGAGAGAGACACTGACCTAGTACAGAGACAGTGGGCCACAGGTGGATAAGGGAGATTGTGCTTGCCTTGGGGGTGGGGGGGTGGGGGTTCTGAGCTCTGTGGGCAGGAGGACCCGCAGGAACCTCAGTTCAGAAGTAGACTGTGAATGATAACGAGAGGCCACGGAGCAGAGCTCTTCGAGGGTGCCATCCCTAATGGCTGTCCTTGCTCTCCTGCAGACCTCCGCCCGCTGCCCGATGTTGCCATGACGGGCACATGTACCCGGGAATGCAGCGAGTTTGGTCACTCTGACACATGCTGGATGCCTGGCCAGTCATCTCCCAGCCGCCGGACCAAGAGCAGCGCCCTCAAACTCTCCACCTTCGTGCCTTACCAGGACCGAGGAGGGCAGGAGCCTGCGGGCGCCGGCAGCCCCAGCCCCCCGGAAGACCGGAACACCAAAACGGCCCCCGTGCGCCTCCTGCCCTCCTACAGTGCCTTCTCCCACAGTAGCCATGACTCCTGCAAGGACTCGGCCACCTTGGAGGAAATTCCCCTGACCCAGACCTCGGACTTCCCACCCACAGCTACACCGGCATCTGCCCAGACCGCCGCCAAGCGTGAGATCTACCTGTGAGCCCCCTTCTGGCCGGCGGCCACCCCTCCCCCAGTCGCCGGCCAGCTCCCAACTGGGTCTATTCCAGGGCCCCACTCACTCCCTCCAGCGTGGACTCTGTGGTCAGGGCCCCAATTCGCGGGAGTACTGGCCTCAAGACCACGTTGACCCTTGCCCCGACGCAGGGTCCAGATCTTTTCCCCCCCGATTCCTACCCCTTAGCTCCAGGGAGCCCCTCTTCCCCATCTACGGGGCTCCACCCAGTGGATGCCCACGAGGGCTCCGCTGCAGTGACTGGGCTCTCTTCCATCTACTTCTAGGGAGCACCCCCTTGCTTTGGGCGGATGGTAGAGTCAAAAGTGGGCAGCACACTTTAACTCACCATCTCGTCTCCTGCACGGCTGGCCAGGGCAGTGTAGCCTTGCAGCTGTCAACTGGGGGACTTACTCCCTGGGAAAGCTCAGAGGAAACTTTCCACCACCAGGGGCTCTCTGAAGGGCTGTTGTTACCAAAGGTGGGGTGGGGATTGGGGTGAGAGTACCGGGAAGGCCTCAGTCTTCCAGTACTGCTTCTGGGCTGGCCCACCTGCCTGTCACAGGCTCATGCCTGATCCCATCTGGGCACCCCCTTCCCTGCTGGTCTTGCGGTGTCTGTATATAAGGACCTTGGAATGATGTCCCCATTTCTGCCTGATTTGCAACTTTTCTTGTTGATGTGTTGTCTTGGGGGGGCCCCTCCGGGGAGGGGGGACCTGCCCTGTGCCCCTCCTCCCTGCCGCAGTGCCCCCCCAAGGCCTCTATTGTTCCATGTTGTAAATACCCCTGGGGCCATGGTGGGATGGGGGTGCAGGCCAGGGAAACAAAGGGTGGGTGGGGGTGGGGACAGGGGTAACGTTCGCCTATCAGCAGAGCTGGGCTTTTATTTAATTTTTTTTTTAAGAAAAAATACAAATCTCTATTTTTTTGGAACTGTTGCGCTGTGCCCTGGGGGAGGGGGGACTCCCCCCCTACTCAGACTGGACCCCCACACCCAGATGAGCATCACAGAGGGGCCCTGAGGCTGTCGGGGGCAGCTGGACAGGGATGGGATGACTGTGCCTCTGGCCTGGTTGGGTGAGTTGGGAGCAGGAAAGGTTGCTCAGGGGGTGGCTGGTTGCTGCCTCCTCTGTGGGGGACCCGCACCTTGCCTCTCCTCCCTGCCCTCCAACCCCCAGCCCCTGCCATGACTGACCCATCAGCCTGTAAAACCACCATTGCCTTGATCTCAGGGGGTGGGAAGGGCTGCCTCAGGGCACCCTGGGCTCCAGGCCCCTTCTTCCAGTTGGGCTTCCCTTCACCAGGGTCAGGGGTCCCATGGGGGAGGGGGTGGGGAGGTTTAGGGGGCCCAAGAAGCCCAGTCAGCCATGATGAGGTGGGGGGGTCTTCACCTCAGGGGGGCCGAGGTGTGAGGGGTGTCCTGCAGAGCCCCCCACCTCCCACTGTGGCCATCTCACAGCCTCAGCCTCCCTTCCTTCCAAAAGCCCCCACTGCCTTGGCCCCTACCTCTCCAGCTCCCCAAGGGCCCGGGCTGGGAGGCTGGAGACTCAGGGTATGGCCCCCACTTGACTTAGTCTAAGCTTGGGGGGGTGGCCCATTTGGGAAGGGTGGACAGGCTGCTGGGTTGTCCGGTGCCTTTGGGAGCTGTGCTGCTGGAGTCTTGACTCCTGTAACCCCAGAGACCCCACTACCACTCCAGAAAAGCCAGGGGCTGTAGAGTCACCCGATTCTCTGCCTCCTTACCCCTACTTTTGTCTGGGGTAACAGTGCTGGGAAGGAGTGCACTGTTAGGGTGGCGACCCTGGCATCCACAGCCCTTCTATGGAGGGCAGTGGGTAGGGTGGCTAAGGTGACAACAGCCAGGTCTAGGGGTTGGCCAAAGGCTCCCATCCCTGGGGGAGGCCCAGAAGGTGGGCCAGGGGCTTGCTAAGGACACAGCCCCTTTCCCCTGCACAAATGGGGCAGGTGCAATAGTGGTGGAGCTGGTAGCATGAGGTGCCCGGCTAGTGGGGCGGTGGCCTGGAGGGCTGTCCTGGGTCCTGAAGGTTAGGATCTGGACAAAAAGATTGTATGAGGCCCATCTGTCCAATGGAGAGGGTAATCCGGCCAAGAGGCATCCATGGGGTCAGTAGACTCCCACTGGAAGCCCCTGGTGGCTTGGGTACCCTGACCTGGCCTTGGGGACTCCTGAGCATGGAGTGGGAGGGCAGAGGAACATTTTGCACAATGGAGAAGCCAGAAGGAAGGGGGTAGGGTAGCCTAGATGGCTGGGAGGGCTCAGAAGCACAGAGCAGACGCCCTTCCACAGGCAAGGGCAGAGCCCTGGTCCCCTGGTCGGGGTAAGGGCACTGAGTCTGTCACCACCTGGGCACTCAAGAGGTGAAACCAAAGGTGGGCAGGGGATGGGTGACAGCACTAAGGACTGACCCTGTTGGTCCTAGGTCTGTAATACCCCTTCCCAATGCCTTGTGTCGCGTACAGTTTTATGTACCAATAGGCGACATTTGGCCAGAGGAGACCCCCTCAAACCCAGCCTGACCCAGTCAGTGTCTTCCTAGAGGGGACCGAGTTGGTCCCCACCTCCCTACTTCAGAACATGTCTGTTAGTAGGGGAAGGGTATGTGGGGACATATTTCCTAGGGTCCCCAAAGCATCTCTTACATCAGGAGGGGAGCTGCCTCCTGGCACCCTTAACCTGGGGGCTTCCTAGTCCTTATGTCTCTCCTTGGGAGTCTCTGGGGACATGAATTCCCACCGGGGACCATGGGAACATGTCTCTCTTTCCTACCCAGGCTCTCTGTGGAGCCTGTTTGCCTCCCAGGGTTCCTGGGAGTACCTAAGACAAGTCAGTCTTGGGCCGGCTCTCTTTCCAGGAAGAGCTGTCTATGAAGCTCCCTGGAAGAGATGTCTCTGGCTCTCCCCCCACCCCCCATCTCTCCGATGGGAGTGTCTCTGCCCTGCAGCACTTGGAAAGAGGCTGAGCATCTCTGAATTCTTTCCGCCTAGGGACTCTAGGATACCACTCTCTCCTGAGGGCGGCCCCCTGGAGCCATTCCTTCCCTGGGTGGGGGCTGTCTGTCTCCATTGTTGGGAGGGCTTGTGTTGACCATGAGAAAGTCTCTGGGGGGGGGCATCTTGTGAGACTTCTCTAGGAGGAAGGGCCATCTCGCCCATTGGGGTTCCAGGGCGGGTATGTCTGCCCATGGGGAGGGGAGACTGTGTCTCCTTGGGTTATCTGAGTGGGGAGGGGGGCCGTGTCTCTCTCGTGTGTCGGGTGGGAGGGTTGGGGAGGGGGGGATTGGGCGCGTCGGGTGCCCACTTCGGGGTCGTGTTTCTCTTGGTTCGTGCCACTTCCCACCGCCTCGCTCCTCCCGGGAAGGGCCCCCGCCTCCACTCCATCCCCACCCCCGGCGCTGCGAGCACAATCCCGTTGATTTGTAATGATTTCTGTCTTTTCTGTCTTTCTCTTTCTCTGACCTCCCTCCCTTCGCCGCGAGCATGCGCAGGCACCGCCCCTACCCCCTCCGGTTCGGTTCGTTTCCGGTTTGTTTGCTGAGCTGTCAATGAAAGACCCGTGTAATTATTCCCGAGCTTTACAATAAAAGTGTGAAAACCGGACCCCACTTCGCTTCTTCCGGTCCCTCGGGTCTATAACCCTGGGAGAATAGAGCTGTCCTCGGGTTGGAGGCCTTGGGCTAGGGAGATGCGCGCGCGAAAGAGACCTACACTGGGATCAGTGGTGCCTTGGGGGGGGGGGGGGGGCGGAGGAAGGGGGGGGTAAGAACTCAGAGGGCAAGACACCTGGTTCGTGCACCTCAAAGTGATTTCTTTCGGCTCCGGCACCCCATGCACTCCATGCGCCCTGAGCTCCGGTGAAAGGGACGGAGGGGCTCTCTGGGGGGACCTTGTTGTATTACCTTCTTCAGTGGGGAGCCCTCCAAGGATTTGAGGGTGGGAATTGAAGCAAGCCCTTGAGTCGTTCCCTAGTGTATCACTTCCCTCTCCTTTGGCAATGAGTAGGCATTGCGGAAATGGATGGGGGGGAGGCATCTGTGTGTCTAGCGCTTCCTCCCACGCTCAGGAACGGGGGTTGGAAGTTGATTTTGGGGAAGGGGACCGATATGGCCTCCGGCTGCGCCCTCCCCTCCTTTCAGTACTGGAGCGACCTGGCCTCTGTCCAGTTCCCAGGTAAACACCGGCTTGAGAGAGGTCGAAGAACAGATACTGGATCGGCCAGTTCCCGGCCCCGCCTTCGCGGACGCGCCTCTTGCCCAGCTTGTTTCTCCTCCGCCTACGCGCTCCCTCAGGGCCTGCGCTTTCAGGGCCTCGGACTCTGGGTCCATCCAGCCACTGGGATTAGCTGAGCACAGGGACTAATCCCGGATGAGCCACGGTGTAAACCCGGATTGACTGGAGGACGGCGGGTGGGGGTGGGGGGGCAGTGCCTGGAGTTCTTTCTCCATTCCTAGACACGCGGCATGATGGGGTCTAGAGGCTCAATCCAGGTCTCTGCTGCTTTTGAAATGACCTGTAGCTAGCTGCGTGTTTGTTGAGGGCTGAGGGTGGAGAGATGGAGGAGTGCGAGAGGACATGATGAAGACACATTGGATCAGGCTGTGCCATAAGTGTGGCACATTGTTGGTGAAGTGAGAGAAGAGAGAAGGGAAGCAGTGTTCTTGGCAGCCATGACTCCACAGGGTTAGGTCGGCTCCCTGGCTAAGTATGCAACACAGTCCCGCTGTACCCCCACAGACTCACAACACCCCCCTCAACCAGCAGCCATGGTGATGGTCCCCCACCCCAGTCGTTAACCTCATTGAATCAGGAGGTAGGTTAAGCAGTGTGGAGGACCCATATCCTCCCCATCCTGATTTGATTAGATAGTGGAGAATGGGGAGCCCTTCCAGTTAAGGCCAAGCCAAGGGGGGAAATGTCAAAGGTCAAGGGAGTTGAAGAAGATGGGCCGTGGCCAGCTGGGTGCCAGAATCCTGGTTCACTTACTAATTCTACAAACATTTCCTGGGCCTCTCCCTCTTACCAGTCCAGGACCAGATACTGGGACACCCCAAGAATGACACATGATCTCTGTGGAACATGAAGGCAGGCAAAAACAATGACCACATCTGTGATCAGCTCTGGCTTGAGCCCGAATTTCTGGCTGGAGAACCAAGGGGGTTGCCTCCTCCAGAGGCAAGAAGGCTTTCCCAAAGGGGTGACAAGCAATGAGTTTCAAAGGGCATATGACTGAAAGCTCACAGAGGGAGGAAGGGAGGGATGGGCCTGCCCTGCAGACACAGGAAGTCCCGTATGTGAAGGCCTAAAGCAGAGTAGCAGGTAGAGTGGCCTGGAGAAGCAAGAGAGGTTGAGCAGAAATACAAGCCAGAACCAGAAGGACCTGCTAGTCCATCTAAGAGCTGAGGGAAGAGAGGACCATTGAAGGAGTCCACACCTCTAAGAGAAAAGGTCAGATTTTCTTTTTCTTTTTTTTTTTTTTTTAATATAGAGTCTGTCTCCCTTCCCTACCCCAAGCTTCTCTGGGGATGCCTGGGCTGGGAGTAGAAACAAACACAGGCAGATAGACAGGAAGAGGAACCAGTTTTATTACAGGTTGGTTAAGATAGTCCTGTGTCTTTCCACCCTTCGTGAACTTAATAATAGCAGGAACTTGTCTGTTCAACTCCAGGTGACCTGGTTTGGAGCAGGTTTCAGCCTCAGTTTATTCACCTATAAAATGGGGATGGTAATGGGCTGATTATAAGAGTTTGGTGAAGTCATTTGTCTGCTTTTATTTTATAGCATGTGGAAGGCCCTATGCCAGGTGCTGACATTCAGGCACTGAGTTAGGCAGTGAGTGTCCTTACTCTCTCCCCTGGAACTTACATTCCAATGCAGACAACAGACAACAAACAAACAAACAAATGAGGTAATTATAGATTGTGTTTAAGTTCTGGGAAGGAAACAGTGGGACAGGAAGGAAGATAAATGGAGGTGGAGTAGGGGAAGGGGCTGCTTTATTTGGCATAGCCAGGAAGCTTTTTTGTTGTTGTTAAGAAATTCTAGGCTTTGGAGCTTTGGGAGGAACTCCAGCTGCAGAGGGTCTGATGCGGAAGACAGTCTTCCTCCTGAGCCCCGGGAAGATGCTAAGCTTCAGAAGGACAGTTGCCTTGACCTCTGCAACAGCTAACTTTCAGGTTAAGTGCAGGGGATGTGATTAGAGAGGAAAGTGACAAGTTTGCTGACGCCCTCCCCTGCCATTTATTGAATGGTATTGGGGAGCTGTTGATCTCTTTATTATTCAGCTCATCTGCCCAGCTGTCCTAACAACTGCCTCTCCCAGTTCTAGGGGGAGTTGTCTCTAGACCAGTTGAGCTCAGTCCACTTCTAATCTTTTCCTGGGCTTCTTATTCCTCTCCTGAGGTTGCAGGAGCAGGTTTGGTTCCTCCAGGATCTGCCTGTCCAATGCCTGGACTAGATACAACACTGGGGCACAATGTTCCCAGAGGAAAATATCAGTATTTAAAGGTTTAGGCCCTCCAGAGTGTCCCCCTTAGTACAGTCACACTGTGGGGAGGTGACCTGGATCTCTGTCCAATTCCCCCTTGAAGAATGCTTCCTACACACCAATGCGTTTCCCACAGAGCCACAGAGCTACTGCAAAGTGCATACAGCTCCTCTCACTCACCATCCAGCTGCACACTGCGTCTCCATGGCAACTGGGAGGCCTGGTCCATGGATGTTAGAAATAAGTGCCAGAGGAAGAAGAGAGAAGCTGGGGGAAGAGAATGAGAAGAGAAACGTCAGGAGGGGAAAGAAAAAAAGATATTGAAAGATGGCCTCGCAGGGAGACCCCGACCCTGGCTTTGTATCCACTTCCCAGGAAGACACTGTGGACTCAGGTCCTGAGAAAGGGGGTGGGGTAGGAGACCGAGAGTGGACTGAGGTGGCCCCAGGTAATGATGCTCCTGGACACCGAGAAAGCGCAGGGATAGGAGAACTTGAATGACAGTGTAGAGTCTTGGGATGAGACTATTCCTTCTGGGTAAAAGGCAGATAAGGGTGGTAGGTTGGGGTGAGAGACGTGGGGGAGCTACTTTTCCTTATTCTTGACCTAATTGGCTGTTCAGGCTGAAACCACCTCTTAGTCACTTAGTCTAATTAGCGTTGTTCTGGAGAAGATGTTGGGGGAGGGGAAGGAAATAATGGGGGAGGTGAGGGGAGTTAGAAAGGGGTGGGGTGGGACTTCTGTTTTCCACCTCCCATTCATTGGCTGGGGTAGTACAGAGTCCAAGCTGGGAAGTCACCCGCACGTCTGTCCTTCCAGGGTCATTGTGTACCCTCTTACTCACCTGCTCTCTGCTCCACCCTCTCCCACCCTCCCATCTCTGTCTGTGTGTGTCTCCTTAGTTACTTCTACTCCTCTTTCTCTCCTGATCTCTCTTAATCCCGGAGCCCATCACTTCCCCTTTTCCCCTTCTTCAAGGTCTCCCAGCCTTGTCTTCCACCTGCAAGCTATATCTAGTAAACCGATAAAGTATTTGGAAATCATAACAGGGAGCTGAGCCACTGGGACATAGAGAAAGAGACAGATCTGGAGGGGACAGAGCAGAGGCTGGCCTGACGGAACGCTCTCACTGCCAGCAACAACAGATAGAAAGAAGGCCTACGATGCCCTGGCTTAGCCTTCTCAGCTCTTGGGAGGTTATCAGGAGAACAGGCCTGTGAGAACTCAGCCTGGTTCTTCACTGCCTGACTGATTGCCTTGGGGGAGTTACTTAGCCTGTGTGAGTATCAGTTTCCCTACCTGGAATGAAGATAGTAAACCCGAACTCTGTCTTGTGGATTTAAGGTGATAACGCACACAAACTGCCAAGTAAAGGCTCACTAGGAGCGGAGTAAATGGCAGCTTTAAGCCAGGCATGGTGAAACATGGTTATCATCTCAACACTTGGGAGGCCAAGGCAGAAGAATTGACATACATTCCGAACAACTGCAGGGTTACATAGTGATTTCAAGACTAGGTAACAGTGAGATGGTGCCTCAAAAAATTAAATAGATAGCCACGCATGGTGGTACACACCTTTAACCCCAGCACTGGGGAGGCGGAGGCAGGCAGATCTCTGTGAGTTTGAGGACAGCCTGGTCTGCATAGTAAGTTCCAGGACAGCCAGGGTCACATAGTAACACCCAGTCTCAAATAAACAAATACATACATACATACATACATACATGCATGAATAAATGGCAGGTTTTATTGTCAGTCCAGACTTTCTTTTCTCTCGAGCCTTTCAGGAGCATTGTTCTCTTGAAGCTTCCTTATCCCTGAGAAGCAAAATGACCCCTTCTTAGCCTAAGACCCATCTTCCCTTGCTTCCCAGGCCACCCAGTGGGTATCCTCTTTCAGAGTGCATAGCTGTGTGTAAGGTGGGGCTTGAACTCTGCCTTCTGCTCACAGGATCAGAAGGACTTCTTCAGCTTCAGGTCTGCTTCTTCCTGCTCTGCCTGCCTCTGAGGGGAGGAAAGAGGACAGCCATAAATGATGTAAAGGAAGAAGTATCCTTGCTGAGGGGACAGTAAGGGATGAACAGCATCCAGGAGCCTAAATATTTCATGGGGCTGCAGCACAGGGAAGGGCAAAGTCCCTGGGCTGTGTTTGCCAGTGTGCGCGTGATTCTTCCACGTGGCTTGGACCCACTCCACCTGCCCAGTGCCCTCTGTACTCCCAACCCTCAATAACCTGCACCCACAGAAAGCTGACCCCCTGAGCCCTTTTCCTGGCTGGGATCCTTCTAAAAATCTCCCGGAGAATACGTATTTTGTTTCTCACAGCAGCAGGAGTTTGTGTAGCATGGAGACTGTGAAAACACTTTACCTGGGGAATGGAGAGGTGGCTCAGCAGTTCAGAGTACTTGCTGCTCTTCCAAGAGGGCTTCATTTCAGTTCCCAGCTCCTGCGATTTATAACCACCTGTGATTTCACCTCGGGGGGAATCCGACACCCTCTTCTGGCCTCTGAGGCCACTGCACCTATGTGTACAGACATGTCCATACATAAAAATAAGTTAAAGCTGGGTGTGTTGGCACACAACTTTAATCCTGGCTCTCAAGAGGCAGAGGCAGATGGATCTCTGTGAGTTCAAGGCCAGCTGGTCTACAGATTTCCAGAGCAGCCAAGGCTACACAGAGAAACCCTGTCTCAAAAAACAAAAAGAAAAAAAAAATTAAATTTGATTTGGGTTGGCCTTGGCTTTTCTTACCCATGTATTCAGCATCTCCTTTTGTCTTCTGTTTGCTGTGTAGGACTGGAGATTGAATTCAGAGTCTCTGTGTATGCTAGGTAAAACCTCAGTCATTGAGCAACAAACAGCCCCAGCTCAAGTTTCTTTATTTAAATTCCCCAAAGAAGGCCTGATAGAGTAGTGCAGATCTTTAATTCCAGCGCTAGGAAGGCAGAGGCAGGCAGATCTCAGTGAGCTCGAGGCCAGCCTGGTCTACAGAGTGAGTTCCAGGACAGCCAGAGCTACACAGTGAGACCCTGTCTCGATAAAACCAAAAATATATAAAAATAAACAAATAAATTTCCCAGGAGTTAACCCCTTTACCCTTCATCCCTGAGCATTATGAGATACAAGTAGCTGGAAAAACTGGTGGGTGGAGGTGAGTGCTGCTGAGGAGGGGACCACTGTGATTTTATATCTTTGCCATGGTTGACTGAGCAGCTGGTAGCAGAGGATAGCAAGAGGGTAAGTGCCTCCGTGCCCATGATTCGCTGCTGGGGACAGCCTATGCCAAATGACCACTATCTTCCAGTATCCCTAGAGAGCTGTTCTATCACCCTTCCCTAACTCCATATCCAAGTGGTAAAGTATAAGGTGCCCCTTTTAATTTGGGTCTCAGGCCCCCTTCTGTCCTGTGTCCTGACCTTATCCCAATCTGTCGTTACTTTGTTACTTGTTCAAGTTCTGTTTCTCTCTACTATAATAAAAAGCTTACAGAAGGCAAGAACCTCGTTTATGTTATTTCCCACTACTACCGCCAAAAAAATGTTTGAGGAAGGAAAGAAAAGGAAGGAAATCTACTTTGAGATTGTATAGCCAAAGCAAGAAGCTGGGGGTGTAGATGGTGGGAGAGGGAAGAAGGCTGGGGAGAGAGTTGAGAGGGATACTTTGGGAGTGGGGGCTGGAAATGAGGAAGGACTTGGGCTGAAAGCAGTTGGATCTGGAACCAGAAGCTGTGGGCTTTGGTGGTGGGGTCCAGGTTTCCAGAGGAGCAGGAAGCCAGAGTTTTGGAGAGGAAGAGGTCAAATAGGATCTTCACTCACCAAGGCTAAACCTGAAGTTGGGAACTGGGGCCACAGCAGGGAGGATGAAGGGGTTCATTAGGAGCAGCCAAGCCTTAGGGATTTCCCAGAGCCCACTGCCTCTTTAAATCACCTTCAGCCCCAAATCTGAGCTTGATGTTCAATCCAAGTGCCTTTCTTTTACCCTTCTAAGCCTGTAAAAAGAAGTGACCTAGGCTTGACTAGCCAGTACTTCCCTGAGAGAAAAGGCCAGGTGTTCTTCTATAGCTGGGAAAGGTACCAGAAGCCAGCAGGATCCACTGACTCTTTGATTCCCTATAATATGGTCAGGAAGGCCTTTTGCAAAGCCTCCATCCTCCCAAATCAAAGATGACAGTGATATTAAGTCATTAGCACAGAGCCCAGAGGAAACTAGGTTGGAAGGAATAATTGTGAACAGGGCTTAGTCTAGTTCTAGCCTATCCCAGCCTAAAGGCTCTCTGAGAAGACAGGAAGACAGAAGTCAGGCTAGGTGTTGGGTGATTCTTACCACAAAGGTGGTTTTTCCCCCAGCACTGGCTGGTGTGGCTGTGCAGGGATGGGGTCACTGGGGAGGGAGCAGAGGATAATAAAAGTGTACCCCTTCAGTAGTTGTCATGGCAACTCGACTTGGATCCCAAGAGGGTGGCTTCTTCCCCAAAGCCCTATGAAGTCTGGAACAGGAGAACTTGCATGTGTGTGCGTGCGCACACACACACGTACACACACTGGGGTTGGCAGAACTCCTAGCCAAGGGTTGGCCACTTCTCCAAGTGAGAGAGACCAGGTTAGAGGCTGTGGAGAGGATGGAGGAGTAGAGGGAAGGCCCTTCACAAAGGGAGGTGGGGTGGGGGGTTCATGTGCATTGTGCCTGGGGTATGGAGGACCGAGGTACATATTCAACTCACCCACCTATGTCCTCCAGCCAGACCACACTGCAGAAGGGTTTAGAAAGGAGATGATTATTAACAGAGACAAAAACAATCACACTTAACCTTAATTGAGAGCTTATTAAATCCAACTATGTATGTGGTTATGCTAAACATTTTATGGGCAGTGTCCCATTTGACTCTGGGAACAACAATACAAGGTGGGAATGATGAGTCCTGCTTACACATGAGAAAACAGATCCTGAGAGGTTAAATGCCTTGCTGCAGGTCAGTGAGCTGGAAAGAAATAGGCAAGAGCCTGCAGGAAAAGAGGAGACTGAGAACATGGTGGCATCCTGGGGTCATCCGCCCAGTCTCTGGGTCACATGGGTCACTCATACCCATGTGCCTTTGTGTTACTTGACAGGGCTGGTTGAGAGGCTGGGCCTGGGAACCTCAGCGCCCGCTGAGTGCCTGGGCTGAGCTGGGGCAGCTGAGGGCACCTGTGGGGGTGTGGGGTATACTGAGCAGCGGGCATCGTGATTGGCACGAGCCAGGGGAACGGCTGGCAGCCTTGTTCCTGGTAAACACGAGGAGAGGTTACTTCACAAGGAAACAGTAATTAACTTTAATTAGCACCTTGCATCTCAGAATATTATTAACATCTCAATTTCTCTAATCAAGGCAGCAGGAGAGGGGCGGCATCTGCTTTGCTGACTCTTTCCTGGCCATGCTTCCCAGCTTGGCATGGCTCCTGGGCGGCCCCCACCCCTGGATGGTACCCAGGAGTACATCCTCGGGGACTGTTGCCAAGGGGAGCCAGCCAGGGAGGAAAAAGGGGCTTGGGCTGGCAGGCCAGAGAGCAGGTACAAGCTGAGGCTTCAAAGCCAAGGGACAGGAGTTGAGGGCTCTGTGTTTGGCCATCTCATCTTTCCAGATAGACTGTAAGCACCTGAGTAGGGCATGCTTATGCTCTGTGATTCTGAAAACTGTTATAGTCACCTTCCTTTCTTCCCTCTCCTTCCTTCCCTCCCTTTCTTCCTTCCTCCCTTCTTCTATTCCTTCCTTCCTTCCTTCCTTCCTTCCTTCCTTCCTTCCTTCCTTTCTTCCTTCCTTCTTTTCTTCCTCCTTCTTTCTTCTTTGAAGCTATCCTCCTCTCTGTTACTCTTTTTATTTTCTCATTCTCTCACCCTCTCCCCACTGGGATTCTCTATTCCAACACAAATACCTGAAGTCTCCTTTGTAGCATGAGGGCTATGCTCCCACTTCTAGAGTACAGAATGGGCAGAAGATAAATCTGTACCAGGGTTTAGAAGCCTTGGGTATAAAGTATACAGCACTCTCATTTGTGTTCCCTCCTGATAGTCATCATAAAGTAAGAGAGGTAAGGGCTATGGGTGTCCAGGAGAAAGGCAGGGATAGGAGAGGCCAGAGCCCTAACTGGAACACCAGGCTAGAGACAGACCATCTGAGGCCCCAAGACCCTAAGCTAGTGACTGCACATGGGTGCTGGCCCACCCTCTTCAGAAGGCCGTCTCAGAAGGAAGTCCCTGAGGGCACAGGGAGTGATTCTCGCTTCATTATCCCTACCCTCAATGGCTGTTAACCCTGCCACGAGTCCAATATTAATAAGTGACTGCCCTCCTTGGTCTAATTACAGCAGCCAGCTGCTTGCACAATTTGGCATTTGTTAGACGGTCTTCAGGGATGTCTCTCTGGTTCCTCCAGTTTGTGTGTTTGTGTGTTGTGTGAATATGCACACACACATACATACATATAGTATTTGTTGAGCACCTACTATGCGTTGAAGGCTTGGTCCGCGCTGGAGTAGGTACTGGTACTGGAGTCTCTGTGTAGGGACTGGAGGAGCCAAAAGAACATGACCTACAGGCCTGGACGTTTTAGCAAAAGAGCCTGGCAGTGTAGGCACAGGGTCACCAGGAATGAGGCTGTGTTTGTATCGATCTGATCAGCAGTCCTCACCTGCTGCTGAAGTTGTGCCTACATTATCACCCTGCACCTCCGGTTTTATTTAACCTAGAGGACAAAGTTAGAGGATCAAGTTAGAAGGCAGGACAGGCCCAACTGGAGCCCACCCAGTTGGAGTCACAAACCATTTGATTGCCTCATTTACCTTGCCTCAGGGAACTGACTTATCAAGCTGCAGGTGCAAAGGAGGAGCAGCTACAGGGAGGGCTCAGCAGGGGCCTAGGCCTTTCCCTTGCCATCGAAGTAGCCATCATTTAGGACTAACTTCATTGAGGCCTTAAGTCTCACTGTAACCTGGAGAGGAAGGAATTCTCAGACCTAGTTTGTGGTTGAGGATGAACAGAAGACAGAGGTGAA